TTTTTTAGCAAAATGTATATTTTACTCTGAATTATTGCGCTCCTATTCGATTGCGCTCTGTCTGTTTAGCGTGCATGCGCGTAGCAGCGTTCGTTGCTCTCGCGTGCCTCGCCCACTCCTGACAGCAAAATGGATATATTTGCATGACTTTCTAACATTTACAGATGAAAAATATACCTGTGACATGTCAGTTATGCACTGAGGAAAACACAACGTCTCAAATGCATTAAACAGCACAGATATATTCGCTGTTTGTCATGGTGGATCGATTTGATCCATGATCGACATTAAGGTCTGCTTAAGAATAAGCGTCCACAAATTAGTTAGATTGTGTGAATTTAATTTGTCTTTAATGGAACCGCTTTAGCCCCGATTGATTTGTCAGGTTATTTCAAGCCAGGTTTTGGACTTTAATCCCAGTTTTTCCTCGGGTCTCCGTGGTGTTGTGATGCATCATATTCCCGCAGCAGCAGCGGTGATGAGAGAGCGCGCTTAAGAAACCGTTTAGAGAGGAGAAAATAATCTACATATAAAATATTGGTCACAGATTATTGGTCTAAATAATAAAAGTATAGCGCGTCCACTAGTAATTATATATAAATGAATCGGTTTTTACCGATGCAAATATGTTAGAAACTATGCATCGCGATATAAATGCCAACTTGTAGCCACACTTTTTAAACCGATGCATCGTTAAGTTTTTATGCCGATGCACCGAGCGAATCGGGGAATCTTCCCATCCCTAATATATATATATATATATACATACAAAAACTTTTATAGCCTTGAAAAAAAATTTTTTTACATTTAAATGATTCTGTGTAGGCTTCTGTGTTTTCAAGGTGTAAAGAAAATATTTTTCTTTTGTACACAACTGCATATTTTTTGTAATTAAATGGAATTTAAATTAGAGCTTTTATTGAAAGTGGTTTAAATGTTGTTTCTTGTTTATTTTGTCAAAAATGTTTTAATATGAACACAAAGATTACATTAATTGATATCCTTATTTTCCGCTGATCGTTTAGCATATTTTCACAAAAATACCAACACATTGTCCTTCAGAATGACGTCTGTGGCTTTTTGTGCATTGACATTTAATTTAAAATTTATTTTGAAATAGAAAAAAGTAACTTTAGAAGTAACTTTACATTTAAAATGCAGCTTGCTTTAGCATGAGATCAAGTATAAATGGTTTCTATTTCCCATCACTGACAGAATGCTGCCCAAAGGCTGTCAGATGTTACTTTTCTCTGCCACCTTTGAGGACTCTGTGTGGAAGTTTGGCGAGCGGGTCGTGCCAGATCCCAATATCATCAAGCTTAAGCGAGAAGAGGAGACCCTGGACACTATCAAGCAGTACTACGTTCTCTGCAACAGCAAGGAGGACAAGTTCAACGCACTTTGTAACATCTACGGAGCTATCACTATCGCACAAGCTATGATCTTCTGTCATGTGAGTCTGTTTGCCTCTGGTTGATATTAGTAAGTTTGTGTTTCTTTCATTTAATCATCCCATATTGTCATCTTTTTTCAGACTCGGAAAACAGCCAACTGGCTCGCCGGCCAGCTGTCTAAAGAAGGCCACCAGGTGACGCTGCTCAGTGGGGAGATGGCAGTCGAGCAGAGAGCTGCAGTTATTGAACGTTTCAGAGACGGCAAGGAGAAAGTTCTCATCACTACTAATGTCTGTGCAAGAGGCAAGAACACCATTACATCTAATGTACATCTAATAAGATGCAAAGCTGTATTTCTACAGCCTTGAGAGAACATAGAGTTTCTATTTTAACTAAACCAAAAGTTGAAGTATTTGTTCCTTTCTCATCTGTGTGTAAATTCTGCAGTCTTCAATAATCAAGCTATCCATCCACAGGTATTGATGTTGAACAAGTGTCAGTGGTGATCAACTTTGACCTTCCTCTGGACAAAGATGGCAATCCAGACAATGAAACGTACCTCCACCGGATTGGCAGAACTGGACGTTTTGGTAAGAGAGGACTTGCTGTCAACATGGTGGACAGTCAGCGCAGCATGGAGATTCTCAAGACATATGAGAGGCATTTTAGTAAGTGTTTCCATTAGTTTATCTCAATAGTTCACCCAGTATTTATTAGATTTTTTAATGAATTATAAAAATAATCAATAATTATAAATGAAAAAAAGTTTAAAATATATCAAATTAATTATTCAGTTTTTGATAATTACAATCCAAATTTTTTATTTTATGCTTTTCATTCAAGTCCACTGGTTATATGTCTGTATGAAAAATTGTCTATTAATTTTTCTTAATTTTATCATTATTATATTAATTATTATAGAATATTTTTATATGACAAGCTACGCAATATCGCGTTCGGCAATGAATCGCCTGCGATTTTGAACGCGATATTGCGTAGCATGTCAGTGATTTACGGCTCTGTGTAGTAAATGCCGCCCCATCTGAACGCACTATGAAATTAACTTTTTTATTTGAATTGTTTTTATTTTATTTAAGTGTATTAATTTACTCACTTGTTTTATCCAACAGATAAGAAAATTGCAAGGCTGGACACAGATGATCTCGATGAAATTGAAAAAATCGCCAACTGAAGTGATGAAGAGCGAAATGCACTACATTATTTTCATAAAAATCAGTTCTGCTGTTACCTCGTCAGATTTGATGCTTGAATAATCTGCATTACAAAGACAAATGTTTACATAAATTATCGACTCATATTTAGGAGAATATGGTTTAACTCAAGCTTAATGCCAAATAGTTTTGATTCTACGCTTATAGCTGTTACAGGACTTTTTGAATCAGTTTGTGTTTGACAGTGTGTTTTGATTTTGAAGTGAATTGCAGTACTAATTCCTACATTTAATCTTGTTTACAGGAGACAGTTTTACATAGGCATTTTCTCTGTTATCTATTTGACTAATGAAGCATATCTTGCATAGGGCTGCACTGTGAAGTAAGTGGACTACTTTTTGGTCTTACATGTGGATAGAATCATAACAGACTTAAGTATTTATTCCATCACAGTATCTAAGAAGATAAAAGTTAGGAAGAGAATCTGATAAATATGGTTTAGTTGCCTACAAATTGGTACAAAATTATTATAAGGTGCACAAATGACACCGTCTCTTAAGACCAACTCAAAACACTAACATTCCTCAAGATGAGCACTTTAGAATAAGACATTTTATAATGAGAATTATTGTGAAAATCACAGAGTATTGTTTTGATATGTAGCAATGCCATTGTACTTGAACTGCAAAAAGCATTTCAGCTTTTTGAAGAAGAGTTTTTGTTTTGTTCTGTTCAGAAAGACCAAATATTAGTTTTTTTAGTTAAACTGTGAATTATTTTCTCGCATGTTCACTTTTACAAAGTATAAAGAGCTACTGGAGTGATATTGTTGTGTTGTAGCTATATTGTTAGGAATGGTTGCTCTACTGTTGTTTGCGAAATGCAAAATTATTTTAGCTTGTTTACATTTTTATTGCTTAAATTAATGCACCTTGTTTGACTGAAACCCATTTGCGATTACATTTAGCTGCAGCATTTCAGTTTCTTTTTTTTGTACATTTGCTGCATTTAGGGTTTTATAGTTGTTTCCTATATATTCTTATAATAATAAAACTACGTTGGCTCATTTCTATGTGGTGATATCAATCATTTTTACTTATTTGCAAGAATTAAATGCAACAACTTTTAGGATGGATTTTATATTTTTTGTCTCCAACTCCCTGCATCCACTGTGCAAAAGACAGCACATTTATTATAGGCTGTAGACATTTTAACATGCATCTAACATGCAGTCTTGAATCAAAAGACAAAAAAAAAAAAAAGTTGCATAAAGGGAGAAAAACCTTTTTTGATTCTTTTAATTTGTGGAAATCAAAATTTGTAAGAAAACTGTCTTAATTATTTTTTAAAAAATGTCAAAGCAAAAACGTCTTAATGGTCCTAAACACACTTAATGATCACTTTCTTTAAGCAAAATGTAATATATAATATATTTTATCTAGATGTCTGTAATGTCTAATTCTTCCCATTGTTTATGACCCAAACTGGTTCTTGACAGATTTCTTTTTTTAGTGATCTTAATTTGTTTTGTCAAGTAAGATTAGTTTTACCTTATAGTAGTTGTTGACTCAAAAACGAAAATTTGCTGAAAACTGACTCACCCTTAGGCCATCCGAGATGTAGATGAATGTTTCTTCATCAGAATAGATTTACAGAAATTTAGCATTAAATCACTTTCTCACGAATGGATCCTCTGCAGTGAATGGGTGCCGTCAGAATGAGAGTCCAAACAGCTAATAAAAACATCACAATAATCCACACCACTCCAGCCCATCAATTAACATTGTGTGAAGTGAAAAACTGTAAGAAACAAATCCATCATTAAGACATTTAACTTAAAACTGTTGCTTCCAGCTAAAATATGAGTCCTCTAATATTTCTTTCTTGGGTAAAAAAGTTGTCTCATGAATCAGGAAAGAAATAAGCACAGATCAAGCACCATTAACAGGCGAGATCACTGGAGGACGTGTTATTATGGATTATGGACTGGTATTTTGTCCAGAAGCAATGTGTTGATTACTGAATTATTGTGATGTTTTTATCAGCTGTTTGGACTCTCATTCTGACGGCACCCATTCACTGCAGAGGATCCATTGGTGAGCAAGTGATGTAATGCTAAATTTCTCCAAATCTGTTCTGATGAAGAAGATCTTGGATGGCCAGAGTTTGAGTCAATTTTCAGCAAATTTTAATTTACAAAATTTTTTTAACAGAATATATGTAGTTGTGTGTATATATATATATATATATGGGACAAATAAACATTTTTCAATCAAAATAATCTAATGTTCAATCATGTATTTAATCATGAGGAATTTGAATCATAATTTGAAATGTGAATCGGACACAAAATCTAAATAATCTTTGCCTTTGTGTAATATTGAGTGTCCATAAAAAGTTGAACTATATTAGTGTTTCAAGTTAAATCCATGTTGCTGTCATCTTGGGAAATGCATAAAACCGATTTGTTCAGGACGCCACACTGAGCCAAGGTCATTGTAAGGTTTGTAAAAGTCCTACGTGGCACATCCATAGTCTCAATCACACAATTGTCAAACCTCTCCCCGAATTCAGCCTCTGCAGCCGATAGCACCGCCTGGAGCTGGTCTGCCGGCCGGAAATGGCACTTGAACCTCTGACCGCATGGAGTTCTGATAGCGAGCAGCAGGCCTGGTTCCTCTGGAGGAGTTAGAGCCGTCTGACTTCCTGACGTCACATCCGGTCTGACCTTTGTGTGGACACGTGAAGTGTGTTGACATATCCTACGGCTGCTGTCACCTTGACCGAATGTCCGGTCAGTACCTGTTTTCTTTTCTATGGAAGGGAGAACCCTGTATTTGTTGAGTGAGATGGGTCCATCGGGGGGTCTGTCGAAGATTTCAGTCAGTATATCTGCACTAGGTTGACTGCAGCGTCTCAGAATGGCTCGGGATTGAAGGCACTGGTTTAACCTGTCGTTTGCCTTGGTGGCTGGAGGTTGGGGTGAAAGTGACGAGGACTGGGAAGGTGGATCCACACTGGAAGTGGGAGCCATCATGGGTCTGCTGCGTCCCTTAGATGACTTGGGCCTGCTCACATGCATTCTTCCTGAAGAAGCCATTGAACTGTTCCGATAGATAGATAGATAGATAGATAGATAGAAGTCTTCAGTATCATTATTAATTACATTAGACTTGCACGCATCAGTCAGTTTTAACTTTCCAAATAAATAAGCTTATGCATTACAAATAAATTCAGATTTACGGTTCTATTTATAGGTTAAAGTTGATAAAATATTCAATATATAATCGTAATACAGAAAAATGTCAAATGTGTCATACCTTTTAAGTTATTTTGCTTCTTTCAGTCGTTGTTGAAGAGATAAAGTAAGCAGGCATTTTCACTAGTCGATAGTTTTGCCGACGCACTGTCGTCTCCGTGGCAACGCTTCCGAAGCGGAAGTGCAATAATGAGCGACGTAAACGTCTGCGATTTTGTATATATTTACATATTATGAAATGGTAAAAACGTAAATGACTATGAAATGTGTGTCAAAATACTAAACAGTGCTTACAAAAATACAGAAATAAACAATTTCTTGCCGTGGCCCTTACGAAAATTAACCATGGTTTTATTACAGTAAAAGTGTAGTAAACATGGTAAATTTGTGGTTACCATGGTTTAGTTATAGTAACCATGATTTTTTTTTGTAGTTAAACTATGGTTAATTCTCGTAAGGGGGTATTTTTCTTGTTTGTGGTATAATATAATGCTATAATTTATTCATTTGTTTTCAGTTTTTTTAATAATGCACTGTCAGATTTAATGTTATTTAATATCGTTACTCGTGAATTCATGTGGGACATTTACTATGAGATATTTACATTTCCTAAACACCTTAAAGCAATTTAAGGCCAAAAAAGTCACTTTGGATGAAGCATGTAGTAAATAAATAATAACCAAAAAATATACACTGAATATAACTAAATAACGTTGTATTGCTTGCTAAGAAGTATGCTGTTTGTCAAACTGTAAATACTGAAAGAAGTAAATGTCATCATCCTAAGGCAAAGCTTGAAAATTATTGTTCAGTGTTCTTTTCATTTTAGACATAATATGAGAATAACCATAACGAAAACACATTTCTCACAACATTATATTTAATTATTGCATTACATATTATTTATACATTCACTACAAAATTCCCCCTTTGTAGTTTCAGCAAAGCTGCAGATGTATGACGCACATTCGACATGAATTCAAGTAAAAGTATTTCCAATAAAATAATTAACACTCAAGGAAAAAAAAGAGCTATATATTCAAATATACAGTACTTCACATTTAAATATATATCATACACATCCTTTGCCTTTAAATGGCTTTATATTATTCCCTAAGCTCAAATATATTGAAGTACACCCAGCATTCAATGCCCACTTGATGTTGTGTAGTTGATAGCTTAAATGAGCAGAACCCTGCTTAAAATGAGCATTAAATCTGCATATTGCATGTCCCTTCGGTTTTTAAACAGGCAGACAGTCAAACAAGTCGATGTTTGTAGTAAATAAGTGAGTATGTGCCACAAGGACTATGTATTACTTAGTGTAAAGAGTAAAATACATATCAGTCCCCCCTCTACGGTAACTCCAGGAGGTGGTTTTTCACATACAAGTCTTCTGTGATCTGGTAGACTTCAGCAATGAGAGGCAAAGACTCTCCCAACAGAGCAACCACCTGCGTGTGATCACCCGCATTCATCACATTAAAGAATGTGTCACGCCCTGGAAGGGCACAGAACGCCACGCCGACAGCTTTCCGGATGAGCCAGGGGTGGTGCTGAGCCAGAGACTCGTTATAGGCATCAGAACACATGACGGAGGTCTTGCCGTCCTCGGTGCTGGTTCGCAGCCTCTCCAGGAACAGCTCCAGCCAGAGCAGAGCCCGATGGAGCCTCAGAAGAGTGCGGCAGCCGGATTCTGGATGGCTGCCTCTTTTGGTGAGGTCCACCAGGTCGTTATCCAGCTCATACTTCACCATGGACTGGATGGTGACATAATAGGATCCGTTTTCTCCTGAAAGGAAGTTCTCTAGGATCTGGATTTTGCTGACCACGTCCTTGGAGATGAAGGAAAACACGTTCCCTAAACTATTCATGAAGCTGATGGGAAAAAAGAGTGATTTTGATTATTACATTTTTTTTAATTGCTCATAGTCTTTGTATTCAAATGGCTTTCCTACATTTTTTGACCAATGAATTTTACTGGTATTTGTAATTACAAGATACAGATTTTTTTTTTTTTTTTTTTTTCAGCTGAACATTAAAAGCTTTTAAATTACAATATAAATTTACATGTCTAAGATTTCCATTAATTGTCCAAGTTCTGAAATAATAATTAAATATAAAATAAAATATTCTTAATATTTCACATCACTTCTTTAAATATCCCAAGACCATAATGTAAAACAGTAATAAAACATGTACTCACGAGACCAGCTCTTGCCATCCTGCTATATAATATTTAATGTAAACCTTCTTATTCTCACTCAGACTTGATCTGAACGTTTCCAAAACCCTTTGAAGACTGAATGTATCTGCCATGTCTGTTCTTTCTAATTAAACTACCACGAAATAGAATTTGTGGACAAATTCTTACAACAAAATCGACAAAAAAAAAACTATATATTAATTTTCAGTATCTTCAGTATGTGTTCTTCATTGGGATAATATCGCTGTAAATGCTTTTTTTTTTGCTTTGCTTTCCTCTTGATCCTCTCTTCCGGGATTTTCCTGCGTTCTTTAAGCAACGTAGGCAACATTAGACCAACCAAATCATGGTTTTCATGTCACATGACAAGAAGTTCCATGTGATTGGACTTTGGTCTTGGCCCTCTGTGGTTGTGCAGTAAATTTAAACCAATGGGATTAAAGATAACATAGGCACGCACCGATGTCACATTGGACGTCTTCTTCCATGAGGCGGCGCTTGAGGGCTCAGAAAGTCGAATTCTCCATTGAGCCGCATTCAAATATATGGAGGCTGTTTGCTTTTTTGGAGACAATTATGCATCGAAAATAA